CCCCAGCCAGCATGGCTGGCTGGGGAATTCTGGGAATTGAAGTCCACACATCTTACAGTTGTCAAGATTGAGAAACACTGTGATGTCACACCAGAGACTGACCTGTCATTTTTAGCTAGTGTGCCGGAGCACTTCCGCGAAGGAGGTTTGGCTATTTTCATAAATAATAGAATGATCAATATACATTTTTGCCAAGCCAAAATTCATTAGTAAATCAAAGTCACCCTCCTTAAACTCCCCCACCAAAACAGCACTGTTGTTGATATTCTTCAAAAGGCAACAGCATTTAGGGCAGTAAAGGCTGCCCCAAAGACCATACCGGTTTCAGATTGAACGGCATCAATACTTTGTAGTCCAGGAGCAAGTATTCTTTCTGAGGAGAGAGAAAAAGAAAGACAAAATTAAAGTGCCATTAAAGTAGATGCTCCTTGCATTTCAGTTCCAGGGGTGGCCTGAAGAGTGGGAATAAAGTGCCCTTAATTCCTAGATCACAAGCAATTACCCTTCTGGCTGGGGATGATGGAAGAAGTAGTCCATCAGGTTTGGAGAACGCTGAGTCAGGGTAGAATGATCTGGCTCAATCTTGTGTGGTACCAAGACCGGTGCTTCAGATTTAAGCCTGCCTTGACAAATGTTCATCCCAAACTTCTGACAAGATGGAATTTACAACTGCTTTTCTCTTTCACGCGTTTCAGATCTCTTCTTTACCTTCTGACTTGCTCCTTACCTTTCTACTTTTTGAACTGAAAAGGGAAGGATGAGTTGCAGTTATTCTGCAGAGGCCCAAGGTGAGAACGTGATTTGGGATTATATTTGAATTATTCAGGGTTTCTGTTCTTTCCAATAAAAAAATGTGTTCCACTGAAGCAAAGTGTATCTATTTCTCCAAATATGGTTTTTGTTTCACTCCCAGTTATAATTCTTCATCACTACCACCAGCATTGTCATTTCTGCCATTGACAGAAGTAAAAACCATGATGAAAGGACATGGAAAGTAAGGAAGATGACATTGGCAGAAATATGCAAAAACCATTATGTAGGCAAAAGGGGAGGAAACCGTTTTTAAGCCCTGAGAAGCAAGGTAATATTCGGAAGCAACTCAGGAAGACACCTCCCTGATTCACTGGAGTATAAGAAGGGGGGGGAGGTAAAGCACAACTGAGCTTCCATGATTTTGTTATTATAGCCATGTCAAGAAAGATAGTTTAGGTCTACCTAATGGGGCCTTCCTGTGGTCTGGTCTACCTAATGGGGTAGGCAGTCTACCTAGCCCCCATCTCATACCTGCTGAAGTGTGCAACATACTCATCCTTACCAGTGATTTTATCTCCCGGGAAAAGTCAGATGTAGCGATGGGAGGATAACGAAATGTGCAGTTCTTGACTGGCCGGGATGAGCCAGCAGCAGGAGCAGAAAGACAGCAGCAGGAGCAGAAAGACCTAGGAGACAATGTACACATTCCCTTTTTTAAATATAGATATATAATTTTCAATTGAAGATTTTAATAACAGTAATACAAACTAATATGAACTAAACAGTGGACACATTCCTGAATTTATTCCAAAGCAAGTCAGCAAAAGTCTCTGAAACCTTCCAATAAAACAGATATAACATATGAAACATCATAAGTTCCTAACATATTAAAAGCTGTTGGGCAAAGTAGCAAACAGGGCTAGTGCAGGCATTTAGAGAATGGCCTCAAATCTATTTCTTAATACTCAGGAATGGAATGAAATAATGGCATGAAGAAGGAGGTCCTTTAAAGCACTTAAAGATGCCCATTTCCTCACCAGCAATTTTGAGCATCTTATCACACCGTCAACCATCAATGACCCTCTGTATAGGGAGGGAGGGAGGGAGGGAGGGTTGATATTGTCCCAGTGATGGTTGGATGAGGCTGTGACTTACTAGTGAGGAAATGACCCTTGTTGGGGTTTGGAACCTAAAGTAGGATTGGGGCTGGTTACTACTTCCATGGGAGAACCCAAGGCAGACCAAGGCTGTAGCCCAGACTGGGAAGTCAGAAAGCATTCCAGAGGAAGACTGTGGCAAACCACTTGTATAACCCTGCCAAAAAACCATCCACAAAGTTACCAGAAGTTAAGCTCAGTTTGAGGAGACTGTATCTTTACTTTTAAGACACGGAGCAGAACTTAAGAGCCTCATGCCCTCCAGATTGGACTCAAGCTTCTCTCATTATTGGGGTTCATGTGTGGACACTTGGGAAGCCAAAGATTCTCCATCCTTGGTGAACAGGACATATAATTTCTCTCTTTTACTACTAAGGCCAAGCTTACAGAAATCACTCTTATGGATTTAGCTGTTTTCATTTTTTATTTTCTACCGAAAGGGGAATATATTTTATGGCTGTAGCTGAGTGAGGTTTCACAATTCCAGAAGGGACTTCATGGAATGGGATGGAAATAGCCTCACACAATTTTTCTCCACGAGAAACATACTTCCAAAATTCCTCTTGTCAAATTTAAGTGTCTTGTAGAGACACTCAAAGGAACTCAAATCTAACTCTTGCCTGCTTGAAAATGTCTAAGATTGTATTAGCACAAGCAAAGATAAACACTGTTGGAATTTGTCCTAAGTATTTTCGGGAAACCATCTATTAGCTCATAGACTGAAATGTTCCTTGTATGTATGCCAAGAGGACCTAAGATAACTCAACTGGACTTTATCTGGTCCATAGGCCCCTCAAATGCTGAAGTCTTTCTGAATGCCACCCTTGTTTTGTAAATCAACCCTAATCTCTTCTGCAAATATTAAAGAGTGTGTATTTATTCAGAGAACAATCCCAAACAATTGTCTTCTTCCTTCCTCCTTCTGTTTGGAGAAATAAAGTTGGCAATGTCTAATAGTTTTGAAATATTCAGATGGCAAGATGGATCAGCCATTCCTAATCTGTACTTGGGGGCAGGAGTCTATTCCAAACACATATTTCTTGTGAAGTCTATTCCAAGCACATCTTGCCCCAGCTTGGGGAAAGCACTGTTTATTGCTTCTTATAGCTGCCAACAAAGCACTTAAAATGTAAGCATGATGTAATGTAACTCCCTGTGGACACATTGGTCCCACAAATGTTGCATTGTCAATCAAGATCTCTTATTTAGACGCCAGCAGGGCACTAGTAACACTTTCCTGATTGTATTCTCACACAGCCATTTGAATCTAGATCCCAAATTGTTTTAATCTTGGCAGTATTTGTGGTGCATCTGTTAAAAAGTCAGTTACTGGGTTCAGTTGCTACTCAGGCATGGAAGTGACTAGCCTGGCTTCAGAGTTAAAGTTAGTTACTGGCTTAAGCTTAAGACCAAGCCAAAGTCTACTCATCTTGGCATATGGATAAAATGATGGTGATGGGTAATTGTTAGATCACCATATGTTCTTTCATAAAAAGAAGCTTCAAAATCCAGTTTGCTTTACTTTACATTTTTTGCTTGCCATATTCTCCCTACTAAAATCTAAAGTGGTTAATAAACTGTTGGGTTCAGATATTGTAATGCCCACCAATGTTTTTGAACCTTAGTCTATTTTAGTCATGGTTTGTTGACTAGTCATAGCACCCTGATTAACACTAAGCTAAACCATGATTTATGAACTACTTTTGGCTGGGTTCCCACATATTAATCCAAAACTTTATGACTATAAGTATAATGTGTACATCAGCAAATGTCCATGAAATAATTAAATTTACATATTGTTAAGCCATAATGTGGTGTCCTTGGCCTGGGCTTTGCATGTTGCATAAACACACTCAACTGTCGTTTACTCAATCAGATAAGCAAATTGGGACTTAGCATGATATATGAACCCAGTCAAGAGAAGCTACTTACAAAAAAATCTTAAAACTCCAAATGTGTCAGAAGAAAGCACACCCTTTGAGGGTTAAACTAGATGAATTGCCTATGTGTTATTTTGTTTTATTTTATTTATTCAGTGGCTTTACTAGATTATTTAGTTTTATATTAGAATATCCCATTCAAATTAATAAAACTTGAAGAATGAGTGACAGGTGGATTACTTGATTATTTACTTTATTCTGTTTTTGATTCTGCTTTTTGTTCTATTGTACCCTGCAGCAAGCCAAACAGCAGCCAGTCTCTGCAGAAACTGCCCAGATACTTGTTGGGGCCCAGCCAGATAAGAGTCTTTTTTATTACTAGGATGTGATCACTTTAAACAATTGATTTGCCTAGTGTCCAAATGAAGTGGAGATTTTCCTTACTCCTGGGCTTTTCCATGGTTTATAGGGTGCTCAGCCTTGTACTTTTCAACCTTGGGACTAGGTGACTGTCACTTGTTGCCATAACCAACATTTCTGCCCTGAGAAAGTCTTGCTCCCAATTTCACTTGCATAGCCAAAATACAGGAATAAAGAGTAGAGAAACGGTGTTAATAACAGTCATGAATAAAAGCCTGGGAAAAGAAATGTGCCTTGGCCACTTTCAGGGGGGTGAGTGTGTGCGTGTGTGTGTCAAAATCCGCAAGATGGTAAGCAGAGCGTTGCCGACTGTGATCCTCCCCTGCAGACGCCCCTGATTGCTTTCCAAAAGGTAGAAAATGAGGATCAAAGGATGAGATTTCTATAGCTTGGAAATGATGCAGAAGAATCAAGAGTATCTGTGGGGCAGGATGAGATTAAAAAAAATCAAGATGGTGGCCTCAAACTATGTGCTTGAAGACCTGCCCCTTTTTATGTGCATCTGCAGACAAGTTCCTCAAAGGTCTCTTTGTTTCCTAAGGTTAAACTTCCCCAATACTTTTCACCTCTCCTCATACAACTTAGTTTCCAGTGTTCTGATCATCTGGACCCGCTCCTGGTTGTCTGAATCTTTCTTAAAGTGCGAGCGTCAAAGGCCACACAGAAGCTTTCTGTAAGCTGGTACTCTGTAAATATGTCAGGAATACAACTCCCAGAATTCCACTGGCCATGCTGCCCAGGAGTTTTGGGAGCTGTAATCTTATCACCTCTGGAAGACAAGCAACTGGAGACAGCTGCCATAACCTAGTATCACTTGACTTACCACAGAAGAATCTGGAGTTGCATGATACCAAATCATCTCCACGCAGTTTGGTGGGTGGCCAGCATGCTGAGGCTTGCCCTCAAGTAAGAGGGGAGGGGGTTCTGGAAGGAAAAGAAAGCATGGTGAGAAGGTTAAGCAGCAAAGGACGCCCTGCAACTAAATACAGACCATATATTTGGCGCAGCTTTCTTTTCACCCGTTTATAACAAATACTTCTGCATGGGCCAAATTCTCAAGAAAGGCACGATTTACTCAACCAGATGCTGCAGAGAATCAGCTACATGTTAGAACAGTGTTTGTCAACCTTGTCAACCACACAAGATGTGTGGACTTCAAGTTGCCAAGGTTGAGAAACATTGTGTTAAAATAACCAGGAATATCCCAATCAACATTTAGTATAAACTAAAGTTTCCGTCAAGCTGAGCTGGACTCCTAGTGACTGTATGGACAGATCCATGTTGTTTTCTTAGCAACAGTATGAAAGTTGTATCTGTCTTCTTCAAAGGAGTTTTTTTTTTTTTCCCCACTTCTCGGTGTAGGATCTCCTAGGGTTCTCCCATCCAAGTTCTAAGTGGGAATTTTAAAGCACTTAAAACCTCCTTCTTCCATACAATTCATTTCTCCTGGCTGTCACCCTGAGACAATTACGTTTTTAGGTATCATGACACACTGATGAATGACTGCTTTTTAATAAATACATAGAACAGTGTTCCTCAACCTCAGCAACTTTAAGACGTGTGGACTCCAACTCCCAGAAGTCTGGGAATTGAAGTCCACACATTTTAAAGTTGCCGAGATTGAGAAGCACCAATCTAGCCTAATACTGTCTACTGCACAAGTTTCTCCAAGGTGTTCAGTAGATGTCTGAACACATCTTCTAGCAGGTCATTTTACTAGAGATTTCAGGAAATCAACACGAAACTTTCCGCACATAAAATTTATAATCCAAGGGAGCCTAATCTTCAGAGGCTGGGGAACCAATTTAGAATTGTCAGAACAAATTAGAAGAGCCCTTGCAAAGAATAATCTCTTTGTTAAATGGCATGAGCAGTCCCAAATTTACCAGAATTTGCCCTATTCACTTTTAGTCACATTTGCACTGGATTGCATCCAATCATTTTTATTTTCTAAAAAGCAAGTAAGAATTTGGGGCCCACAGGCATTCTTGGAAGAAAGATGATGTTGGGCTGGTGTTATGTTCTGAAGCATGCCAGCTTTCCCTTTTTTTTAATAAACTTTTTTTTGAAAAAGGGGAAAAATAAGGTTCAGCAGAAAACCCAGCTGATGCCAGGAGAAGTGCGGGAAAACAAAATATAAAGAATATTGTCTAACATAAAAAAAACCCTTTACTTTGATGATTCACTAAGATAGGCCATTAAATCATCATAAACACGATTAGGGGAAACACCTGTAAAAGTAGAAAATGTGGGAATGCAATAGATTAGCAACAGCAAAATCTTTTTTTTTTTTAAGTGCATAAAATGTGGCTACTGAAGTCATTTCATTTTTAGAAGACAGCAACAAAAACAGAGATGGTTTCAGGCAGGGTTTCTCAACCTCAGCAACTTTAAGTTGACGATCTCAACAGGTTTTATTGCAGGTTTGAGAATGAACAACTATTATCTGCTGCTGCCAATTGTATTTCAGATACATCATCGGCATTAAACTTCTCTACACCTATCCCCAATCCCCTGGGTCCCTTACCTCTGGTGATCCTAGAAAAAGAAGTGCGAGGTCTGTTTCAAGAGCAAAAGATTGGAAAAGCTCCAGGTCCAGACGGTGTGACCACCTTGTGTCTGAAAGCTTGTGTGGAACAACTGGCCCCCGTTTTCACA